AGGATGGCACCTCCGTTGCAGGATGGCACCTCCGTTGCAGGATGGCACCTCCGTTGCAGGATGGCACCTCCGTTGCAGGATGGCACCTCCGTTGCAGGATGGCACCTCCGTTGCAGGATGGCACCTCCGTTGCAGGATGGCACCTCCGTTGCAGGATGGCACCTCCGTTGCAGGATGGCACCTCCGTTGCAGGATGGCACCTCCGTTGCAGGATGGCACCTCCGTTGCAGGATGGCACCTCCGTTGCAGGATGGCACCTCCGTTGCAGGATGGCACCTCCGTTGCAGGATGGCACCTCCGTTGCAGGATGGCACCTCCGTTGCAGGATGGCACCTCCGTTGCAGGATGGCACCTCCGTTGCAGGATGGCACCTCCGTTGCAGGATGGCACCTCCGTTGCAGGATGGCACCTCCGTTGCAGGATGGCACCTCCGTTGCAGGATGGCACCTCCGTTGCAGGATGGCACCTCCGTTGCAGGATGGCACCTCCGTTGCAGGATGGCACCTCCGTTGCAGGATGGCACCTCCGTTGCAGGATGGCACCTCCGTTGCAGGATGGCACCTCCGTTGCAGGATGGCACCTCCGTTGCAGGATGGCACCTCCGTTGCAGGATGGCACCTCCGTTGCAGGATGGCACCTCCGTTGCAGGATGGCACCTCCGTTGCAGGATGGCACCTCCGTTGCAGGATGGCACCTCCGTTGCAGGATGGCACCTCCGTTGCAGGATGGCACCTCCGTTGCAGGATGGCACCTCCGTTGCAGGATGGCACCTCCGTTGCAGGATGGCACCTCCGTTGCAGGATGGCACCTCCGTTGCAGGATGACACCTCCGTTGCAGGATGGCACCTCCATTGATCTATACTTACTTTCTCACGCTGGTTGATGCTCTGGACGCTCCTCGATGTTCTTCCACACCACGGCAATGACGCTCCTTCACACCACGACGGCAATGAAAGCTTTCAAACAAAAATAAAATAGGAAGAAAAAGGAATGGAAGTGCGAGAGGTGGGGAGGTGAAACCGAAACGAGGAAAGGAGAAGAGAGTTTCGTGGGTGGGTGCTGGAAAAGTAAAATTAGGGTTTCAAATTATTTAAAATAGGATAAAAGTAAAAATCTTTTTAACTTAAAGATATAATTGTATTTAAAATAATGTGAGGTGAAGGAAGTACAGGGTGGTGGTGGAAGAAGCACACCCTTTATGGTTATATTTATAAAAGAAAACAAATCATTTTTTTAAAGTTTATTTTCATGGGTTGACATAATTCGAAAAGGCTATAGGGCTTTCCTGTGGATCAACTCAATATTTTTTTCTGGCTTTTACTTCCTGCATCCTCACAACTTCTTCACACACTTCCTCAAATTTTCAAAATACCATTTTACCTTCTTTGTAACTGACTTCTAGAATACATTGAATTCTGGAATGAAATTTTGGAACAAGATTCCCATAACAAAATCTTCTGAAACAAATTTTTGGATGTAGTCTGAAAAGAGCTTTTTGGAACACATGAAATATGGTCTAGAAATAGCTTTCTGAAGCAAATTTTTTTCCCTACTTTTTCTCTTCTTCCTCGGAGTTCTTTCTGTTTCCTTCATTCTCTAAAGCGACGGGGATGGTCAGAGTGACGGCGGTAGCACAAGAGTG